CATGCCCATCTCGTGTGACATACACCCCTGTTACCAGGGTACGTGTAACCCCGTTACACAATCCATAACCTTCAATTCCTGCTATAGATCGCCCCGCTCGTCTACCTGAAACAGCTGTAGTAGCTACCGAACAAGTTCTACCGCAACGCAAGTTAGGTCGCCACTCACAACAGAGTAGCGCGCTGTGGGAGTAATACTGCCTCTTCTCTGAGGACTATAATAGCTGATAGCGCGCCAAATTGTCTGTTGTCACGAATCCAGCCTACTTTTTTCGAAGTCGAGCCTCAAACTCGCATGAATTCCCATTGGGGGAACGCATTCATTATCCACCATATCGAGCTACAGCCTTGGTACCTGAAATTAAGCTCATCAGAATATCTCTGTAACATGCAGTTCTTAATCCGACACAATTGCTAGAGTCAAGGTCATTTGCTAACACTTGCGACAACAGCTTAGTTGTGTTGACAATGATGACGGCCAAAGTTGGCAGCAGCAAGGTGAGGTATATTCCTCAAGAGTTTGCAAACTGACTACAATACCAGTATCACTTATAGCGTCTGAAAGAGGACCAAAACCAAATGACATCAGAATATGTGGCAAAGGTTTGGACTTTAAAACAGTTCATGCGTGCTCATAATCGTGCTTACGATTGTACAATCTCGGCCACCCGTTTATAGGCCTTAGTGAGACGTATGTTTTGAGTCTAACGAGATGTATTTGAAGAGGATAATCATGCTCCACACAAAGAATTTGTATCTGAGGTGGGTATAGTTTCACATTATGAGATAAGCTGATTTTTTACAGATATACCCAAAAATCTCGAAAGAGGTGTAATTGCGCTTACAGGCCCTCTAAAGGCGATACCCTTCGCTTTCCAAAACCACCAGAACGCAAACCAGTCGTGACCGATCCGTAAGCCATACAGATAGCATTGTCGATTGGTGGTGAGATTAATAGATCACAAATGAATTGTAGTCGATCAGGTGAGCTCAGAACGACCTGCTCGACCCAAAAAGATCTAGAATATTACACCGCATACCCTTTGAAAGGTCGCCACTTTTGGTTGCTCCCGATCAGCACCTGACAATCATATCAAGTAGATTGGAGAGTGAGTCATATATCATTTTGCGCTATACATCTGCAAGTAGTTGGTCAGACCAAGCACATTTTAAATCTCTAAGATAGTTGCGACATTTAATATGCTTTGGCCGTGTTTTTGTGTGGGATGTATGAGAAGTTATCGTCAAAATCAACCGATGCATACTGCCCAAAAAGCCGCAAAGCTAGACTATTGCGTATTAATAATTAGAATTGCAAGAAACAGCCAATTTCCCGCACCCCTTTCAAATAATATCGTGTGATTGGTTGGTAATTTCCACCGACAAAGTAGAACTCGATGTACAGGGTACGCCTTTTGATTTAAATTTTTCTTGATTCAAATGAAAGATTGAAACCATCCTGTCTCTGAAATAGTTTGTACGAAATGGTTGCCGCTAGCTGCAACAGAGTGTTGAAATATCTAAATGCAACATTCTGAAGCGGCAACAACGGCAATCGCATTCAGATGGTCGTCACGTTAGCAGCAGCTGCAATATCACGTCACATGCTTCATAGCGCTTGCAGACGTGTTTCAGCGTGCCTGAGCAACCTAATATTTAAATTCGTGTACGACTTGCCGGATACCATTTTCGACTCTCACATTGATAGTCGGCGCCGATTGGCAAGTTTTATACTCGCTTGCTTGAACCCGCTACGTGAATCACGGGGAAATTAGCCCATGAATTCGCACTGTGATCTCATTGAGGGATGTGAGCTTGTAAAACAAATATTTTAGGCCAATTTCATAAGATTGTTCTCGTTTGGAGGTAACACCTCTGATGGGTCTTTTGCCCTCATATCGAAATATTTCTGCAACAAAAATTATCATACATAGGGTATCTTTCCTGGCATATAGTCACCTCAGGCTACCATAATGACCAATTTATATTTAATCTAAGGTCCTCTTCCTGTACTACCTGTCCCGGCGATCTCAACGTCTTGAATTTCCTCGCATACACCCCTTGGAATATTTCCAAGCTCTACGAAATCTTCTCCTCAGAATATAATTGAGAGTCAAACATTCTATGAAACACGTATTAAATCGCCCTTTTAACAAATATACACACATATACTTCAAGCACGACAATTTTTTAAAATACTCCGCTTGCTTGCAAGCTTTCAAAATCGCTGACCCGACTGTGCCATCATGCCGTGTCATGAAACAAGAATGTATTATAATATTGGGACCAGGCTCATAGTCGCCTGTCCCCGCAATGGCTTACAAAAAAAACCGCGGCTTTTAGCTACCCCGATCTGTATAAGAAACACCAATCCTGGAGTCCGCGACTCTTGGTTGTTAACATTCATGTTAACACGGTCAAGCTTTTAACATTCCAACTTAAAGGTGTGTCCACCTGTCTCAATTGGAAAGGACTTGGAAATCACAAATTACGGTTGCTTAATTGGATTAACTCTGAAAATTCTGGTCTGAAAGCGCCTTAAATTATCTCAAACGTTACATTTCTAAAGACCGCCGATATAAACACCCTTGCCTTCTCGTCTTTTCAAAAAGCTCTTGGATATGTCTTTACTGACTGCCAATAGACTATTGAATACCTTGTGCTGAAAATGTCGCGGCCTCGTGCCAAAGGCAGCTCTGCTTCCAAGCAAAGGCGTGCTCACAATTTGTGGACGCTGTATGCTTTTTCCAAAAGACGATTTTACGAGACCCCGATGCCAAACGCACAACGAGGTAATTTAATGAGCTGACTCTAGCTCATCGAGCTAGTCTTCACGGTCTGTAATCTGAAGAGTCGCAGCGACTTGTACCAAGTTTACCTCAGGAGGAAGTATCTCCTGTCAAATGTAGAGAGTTGTTGTCATGTTTCGATCGACGCGATGAAACGAAATGTGTCCGCCGCCAGCCCATATACGTTCCAATTTTCCTTTGATCTCAATCAAAGCGAAGATCGTGCACCCAAAAAGGCATCTAAGACTCCGCATATATCTATTCCTTAGAAATTGTTTAGGTATGAACTTTATTTGCTAAAAACAGCGAGCTCCAGGAAAATTGTACTTATTGTAGCATGCTCTGACGATAGTTTTAAGAAATACATGGATATATTTGCGCTAAGAAGTGGTGGTGCATCGTTTTCGCAATTAGTGTGGGGAGCATCACTCAAGGTTGATTATTCTCATGTTTATGTATATTGATTGCATATGTTTACGCTCACTGATTACACATGATTGCGAGCAATATGTACACGTGTTCGATATACGATATATGATTGGCTAGTTAAAAAAATCTGTTGTGACTAAAAGGTCTTAGAGATAGCGCTAGCGAACTAAAGACCTCAAAAAAAATATTTATCAATTTTGTCCCAACTACTCAAGTCAAGCTCATCTCCCTGTCGCCGCACTAGCAACTTTGATCCTGGTAGCAGCCTATAAGTGTCTGTGCTTGCCGAACTTGTCCTGAACACCACACGATCAACTCTGAGTTAGGTTTGCGGTTTATTGTCATCGTGCATGTCCCGGTAGTCCATTATCAAAGGTCAACTTGGTTGTAGTTCTGTGGGTAAAAGGTGCAAAGTCGGCGTAATACTTTGGTGCAGCTCGGTGGATAACAAGCCAAGTCCGTCAGTAACCGACCAACGACAGAATTTTTAACAATATTCATTCGGGCATTGGGAGGAAAGGTATATTATTTTACCCAAATGAAACTTTATAAGCCTTAAAGCATCACTTGAATTTTTCTGTTGCAAAACATAAAGCGCTGTGTCGCGGGCACTCACCCTCGCTTCCAAATTACGTTACGAGCATTTTGATGCAATAATCATTGCCGCCGCGTCAAACGAATTTAACTGTCGATTCCTTGGTATTTTTTATATTCTAGAACGTAAAAATTCTCTTCTCTTCTCTTGTGCTGGTTTATCGGTCACAATAGAGCTTAAAACAAGACCGCGTCCCACTCGCTAACGGGGGCTTGTGTTACATGGATCTCTATCTCAATCTGGGGGAAAGATTGAAACTGTGACTGACCCCAGTGCAGCTCAATCGACCTTAAACACCCGAGGGTGAATTAACCAACTTTCCAGATACTAATTCTCCGCATGGTGCTCACGATCCGTTTCCAACCGAAAAGGGCCTTTATGAGCTCATCGAGTAGAGCCGGCAGGGGACCAAATATTGCGTTTATATCTACAATTGTAGCCGAGCACTTGAGCTTTCTATGTTGTACGAGTTCCTTACCGTGCATGCGATGCAAAACCTGAGACATGCCCCGCACGTACACAATGCGAAACATGAGACATCTCCCAGATAAATACGACGCAAAATTGTATGAGATTGTCCTCATCTTGAATTGTCTGTGTAAAGCACACCTGTACTTTAATAAGCAAACGTAGCAGTGACAGTACAGAAGCGCGCATCCAAGCGCAAAAAAACAGCGGCGTCCGAGTTAAAAATGCTTTTTTACTAAAGCCTTCAGCATAGTGGGCATATTTGCCTAGTCCATATCGTATAGTAGATGCACGACGTACATGTTGCAATTTGTAAATGAGCTAAACTCAAAAGCGCATTCGCATTCAACTGACTAATTTATTTTAAAATATATTTATTCAGGGAGATGTGCTTATTCTCATTCATTCTAGAGTTACGACGATGATGTCACTGTGCTGCATGGTAAATGGGTGAAAATATCACAAATAACTGCGTACCAAGGAGGTTACAGGGCATAACTTTTGGGATCCACCGATACGATACTTTTTCTGTTTGTACCACCTCACATAACGAAGCGTTTACATTAACTTTGAAACTTCATATCATCTTGTAAATAATAATACTGCGCTTGTCTACATAGAAGTACACTGTCATGATTACGTCTCTAAATTTTTCAAGACGCTCGCAGTTAAGATGACGATATAAGTGCTGGCGCGAGAAGTGTCCGAATAACGTCATTTAAAACTCGTTAATCTACTGTAGCGTCGACCCTTATAATTGCGTTTATTTTGAATACACAATTGCAATTGGCTACATTTCAGCTACCCTAGGTCCTTAAACCGCGGGGCTAGAATCTCTCAATAGTAGTCACAAAAAGATTTATTCAACCCCCTCCGTCTCCGATCGTGTAATAATTGAATTTGGTCATGATGCTCTCAGTCGCAGTAGCTCGTTCCTCTCGACTAACCATGAGAGCTGCGCGTGCCTCCAGCTCCTTCCGCATCGAAACGGACTCAATCGGAGAGGTTAAAGTAGAAAACACAAGGTACTGGGGCGCCCAGACCCAACGTAGTCTCGAGAATTTTCCAATTGGTGGAGCTCGCGAACGGATGCCAATGCCAGTAATCAAAGCATTTGGCGTCGTGAAGAAATGTGCCGCCAAGTACAATCTCAAACAAGGAAAATTAGATCGCGCTGTAGCTGATAAAATCATCGCCGCGGCTGACGACGTAATCGCCGGAAAATTGGACGACCATTTCCCACTCGTTGTCTTTCAAACAGGTTCGGGCACGCAATCGAACATGAACACCAACGAAGTAATCAGCAATCGCGCCATTGAATTGGCGGGTGGTGAACTCGGCACCAAGACGCCTGTTCACCCAAATGATCATGTAAACATGGGTCAATCATCTAATGATTCGTTTCCTACAGCCATGCATATTGCAGCAGTACAAGAAATCCACCGCGTCTTGCTTCCAGGCCTTCACAAGCTGCACGATGCGTTAGATGTCAAAGTAAAGGAATTCCACGACATAATTAAGATCGGACGTACACACACACAGGATGCTACACCTCTGACGCTTGGTCAAGAGTTTTCCGGTTATCGTGAGCAAATTGCGCTCTCGATTGAGCGTGTAGAGCATATCCTTCCAAACTTGTACAAACTTGCACTTGGTGGTACCGCCGTGGGTACAGGACTTAATACGTCGAAAGGTTACGACGCGGAGATTGCTCGAATCATTGCAGAAGAAACAAAGCTTCCATTTGTTACAGCACCTAACAAGTTTGAGGCACTGGCTGCTCATGATGCAGTGGTGGAAGCTAGTGGCGCTATGAACACAATTGCTTGCTCATTGATGAAGATTGCTAATGACATTCGTTTTCTCGGCTCAGGCCCGCGCAGTGGCTTGGGTGAGCTAACTCTGCCAGCGAATGAGCCGGGTTCGTCAATTATGCCAGGTAAAGTGAATCCGACGCAGTGTGAAGCCATTACAATGGTGTGTGCTCAGGTTATGGGGAACCACGTAGCTGTGACAGTTGGCGGCTCAAACGGCCACTTTGAGCTCAACGTATTCAAACCTGTGATGATCAGTAATCTGTTATCATCCATCCGCCTTATTGGAGATAGTTGCTGCGCCTTTACGGACAACTGCATTGTTGGAATTGAAGCAAATCGTGAAAAGATTGATCAACTCATGAAGAACTCGCTTATGCTCGTGACGGCCTTAAATCCGCACATTGGGTACGACAAGGCCTCAAAGGTAGCTAAGACGGCGCATGAGGAAGGTGCCACTTTACGTGAGACGGTCATCAAACTCGGCTACTTGACTGGCGAAGAGTTCGACCGTTTTGTTTGTCCCGAAGAAATGGTTGGTCCACAATAGTAAAGCAGCGTGGATCTTATGTGGGGGTATGCGCTCGAAGAGCGTGTTTGATAATAGAGATATTGTTACGGAAGTTCAGGTGGAAAGTGGGTATGGTACAACGCTGTAATTGCATTATAGTTCAGTACGCTGAGCCTCAGGAGTGGCCACAGAGTGCACTGTTGGCACGGAGATCGTAGTTTGTCTCTGATCGTTGGCGGTTTGAATCTCGTAGATTGCGGCTTGGAATGGCAGGTACAGCGCATTCTGGCGGTAATAGCATTTACAAAATATACATCACTTCATGTTCTTACCAAGACGTAAATTTGATTTTAGCTCACCAATTGCCGCTCTGCTGTACCCAGCTCCTTAGATAGATCCACGCTCTGTCGATTTAATTTGGCCAGCGCGTCATTGAACTGACAATATTGGCAACATATTGATAACATCGATAAACGCAATCGACTCAGCTACATCGTAGTAGATCTACTACTTAGTCGAACCTGCTGTATGGCAGTGGAAACATGGGTCATGACCTCAAGCAGGCGCAAATCCTCTTCCTTAACGTCCTCGCCTTCAACACACCGATCACGAGTATTCATTCTTTTGAAGCTTAGATCAGTTGGATTGGCCAATAACTAATCTTATTGCTATTGGCTAAAACTAACCCAGATGTGTATTATGTGGAAAAAATCATTTTAACCGAAAGCTTAACCATGTGGATGCAGAATCCAGCGGCGAGCGGCAACTTTCACGACCGCAATCGCTTTGGTTCGCAATACGGTCAGAATTCGTACAATGGTGGGTCGGCAGCCAATTCCGGAGCGGGTGACTGGAAAAGCAAGATACTTGAAAGTGGCCAATGGCTTGGAGGCAAAGTCATTGAGCTCGGTGGAAAACTTGCGCGTGGGCCGAGCACCGACTCTATCCCAGGTCACTACGCACAACAGATGCCTCGCAATGATGGTCGTGCCAATTGGATGGCAGATATCCGCAGCAACACGACATCGTTTTCTCAAGGGGGTATTGGAGGGTACAATGCCAGTGGAGGGGGTTACCAAAACGATTTTGCCACAGAACGACCTAAGGCGTATTCGGACTATGGCCAGGGATACTCAAGTAACCCGTCAAGAAGTAATGAGGTAAATAGATTGGATCACTGCTCGTCAGATCATCACAAAAGTCGTCATGCGAAGAAGAAAAACGAAAGCAAGAAAGGCAAGAAAAAGAGCAAGAAGAACAAGAAGAAGCAATCGAGCGAAAGTGATTTTTCTTCCTGTGAGAGTGAGGAGGTCGAAGAGGCGAGTATTTCCGAGTCAACTGCATCAGAGGCATCCAACGAACGACGACACAAGAGCAAGATCAAAAAGAAATTTCAGTCTAAAAAGAAAAGTGAGTTTTACTCAGAGAGCGAGAGTGAAGATGAAGTGAAGAGCAAAACGTCTGCAGAGTATAAATTTTCATTTGATCCAGCCAAGTTGCCACCTCCACCTGTAAAGAAGAAGAAAGAGGCGACAGAAAAAAACACATCGAAGAAGAGTAAAAAGGACAAGAAGGGGAAGAAATCACGCCGACGATCCGTTGCATCCTCAACCGACGAGTCTTCTACCGAAAATGCAAAAGTAAAGGCGAAAAAACGCAGTGAAAAAAAGTCGGCAATAGTCAGTGCCAGTGTTGACTTGTTGGGTGTAGATTTCGATGCACATTCTGCCTCATCAATTCAGAAAACGCAGCCATCACTTTTTGACCCACCGCCAAGCCAAACCCCATTGCAAGATCTTGCTGGATTGAGCTTTGAGGCCCCTCCCTCAGCTTTTACTCGAGCTCAGCCAACCAATTTTGAGAGTGCTGCTTTTATCAGTGCTCCTTCACCGGAGCAAACACAGACATTCACGTCGAACTTGTTACCAGAGAACAATATTGTCAATTTAAACGATTTAGCCAGCGAGAAGAAGTCTCTGTCGGCTCATCCTGGTGAAAAACGTACCCTGAATGAATTGCAAAAGGCTCGCGGTACCGACCAGTTGACACCAGTGATGGCCATTCCGATGCAACACTTGCAGCAACAAAATTTTGCGCCTGGTGGCATGATGCATCTAAGCATGAGCATGAATCAACTCCAGCTTTCAAATGACGGATCTATCCAAGCGTATCCGAACATGCAGTCGCAAATGATGACAATGCCGCCTCAGATGGTCAGGATGGTCCAGCCTCACATGCAAGTGAAGAACCAGGTCGCACCAGAAGGTACTCAACAGACATCACGCGGCCTTTCGACTGAATAAGGCACTAACAAGAACTGAACCGTTTAGCAAGATGAAGCGTACTTTTAGAAAACGTCTAATTTGCCATAGATGCTGTTTTATTTGTCAATGCGTCAATAACATTGAGCATCTATCGCGATAACGTACTACTTATAAGCAGCATGGAAGGTTTTGGCTTATGTAAGCCAACCCTTGCAAGCATTGGTATATTGTCCGTCGTATGTAAGAGTGTCTGAAGCGTTTCATGGTCCAAGCAAATTGCGGCAAGAACTCCACACAATATCTTCAGATATTTAATATCTGCCGAGGCAACCCGAGGCGCCGGCTTCGAAGCCCAGTATGTCTCCGATGTGCCGCTTTTCAGCGACTCATTGGTCTACCTGAACTTTGAGGCCAGCAATCCCTCGGCGAAACTCGATACCCAACTAAGTGACAAAGACATAGGCATCGGCGTTTTACTCGGCATCACTGTGGTAAAAATTATATAAACACACTATTGCAAACGCTTCAATTAGGAAAATGACATTTCTCCTGACCAGCCAATTGTATGCATTTATAGAGGCTTCATTAACATCGACACTATTTATACTTTACTTCAGATATTCACTTTGACTTAATTCAAGAAAAAATTACGTTTGCTGACGACTTTCGCAATTGAAGTAAAAGCTGCAACTTTGCACATGATAGCTTTGACTCGTGGGATTCCTGCACATGGGATGTGTGTCATACATTTGCTCAGATTGAGAGTGTCATATAAGGGATACCAACTGTTCTCAAATGTGTTAATAATTAAAATTATAGCATATTAATTAAGAGGTCAGAAGCACGGTTTAGAAGTACCATCACTTCGACTTCATATCAGGATTATTTCATCACCGATTGATCACACACATTTATAGAACACGTAATTGTTACAAGCGTTACATGTCACAGTGAATTGTAGCAATTGTATGATATGAACGGCAAAGGCAACTGCAATGATGCAATAACCTTCAGGAAGCCTTATGCCTATTTACAAGCCTACTATTGTCAATACAGATAAAACTGCGAATTTTTTTTTTGTCTTTTTCAGTTAAAAACAGAGCCTGTGGGCAGATTACGCAGATATAAAGACCATAGTGGAATCGCCAATGCCTCTGTCCCGAAACGACATGAGTAGCTGGCTTAGCCCGGTCAACTGCCTCCACTAGTGTAGTGCAATCTATGCCGACACGAAGCGACCCCTCACTAACCATCTCAAAAAGGATACCAACTGATGTTGAACTGTGATAGTCGAGACGACTTTCGATGCTGAAATAAAGCCTGATGTGTGCCTCCATCGTTAAATCCAGGTCGGTCATTTTATATCGCCTCTAACGCTTCATCCTTTACGATATACTGTTCTTGTCTACAAGCAGAATGAACAATCATGGACGCGTAATCGCACTTAGGTGCCACCACCTTAGAACAACTCTTAAATCCGTTTCAAAGAGCTATGTGATTTCAAATGCTTCATGAAGTATTTGTTATAAGGTAAACTCGTTTCAGGGTACAAGTGCACCAGCTTGGCATAGAGTCCTTCATGACTTTTGCCGCTCTTGTAACGGGGTTACACATACCCTGGTAACAGGTGTGTGTGTCACACCTGATGGGCATGGTATGACCACACCCCAACAAGAATACGGTACGAGGCTGGATAGCCAGTAGCTAAAAATGAATTAGATTTTACTATACATATTTTGGAAAATCTATGCATTAAAAATTAGGCGGATTTGCCGCAGAAAAAATAAATAAAGTCAGTTTTTGAGTATAAACGGAAGATTTTATTAGCCTTGGGTTATTTCTGTAATATTTCTTGTAGTTATTCGCTAAACTCGTACTTATTCTAAGTATTAAACGAAAGGTCGGTACCTAACTTATGCTTCCAATAAGCGCAAAGCTACGGCAGCCCCCCTGCAGCTCTCGTGTAGTCACGTACAGCGACGTCATCGCCCCATTTCTTGTGGATAATGGCATGATGGAATTTTTCATCTACCAACCATACCCGTAAGGCTAGTTACAATCCGGCTCATCAGCTTTTACATGTTGGACTCCAAAAACATAGCGCTTGTGGAGTGGTCTGCCGAACATGCCACCTAAGTATCATGTGCCACGTACAGAACCTCGTGTTGAATTGGTAAGTGCTTTGATATAGCAGCCTTTAGCATAAGGCACAGCGTTGCAGGCGTGGAGCCGTCCTGAAGGGTGGAGCGAGTCTTAGACTTATTAGCTTTTTGCTTCCCGAAACTTTAACGCAGTATATAATGCGTTTGATCCGTACATTGCAGGTACCACCTCATCGATCTGCGACGTCGCCATCGAAAAATCATACAACTAATATTATTATCAGTTTGACGTGAAAGCACATTCACCAACCCATTTTGACGACCCTCCGAAAACATCTGATCATCACGCAACTGTCAGCGATAGAGGGGCCGCTGAGAATATAGCCGATACTATCCAATGTGCTTCGTCAAAATAGCTTGCCGAAAGTTATGGCAAAAATTATTGTGCTCAGACCCAAATTAAATATATTGGGTAGAAATCAGATGGCTAGACAGCGTTCTGATAGAAATCTTCAAAAGTACTAGCCCATAGAGACCACGACGCTAGTGCGATTTGCACCCAATCATTGCGTGCGATGATTAATGCAAATCATACCTCGGCTAATCGAATCATATTCCAAATAAACAATTCAGACCTTCATTCTCTTTTGACACTGCCACGAAGCGCTCCCATGTTTTAGACGGCATACGGGTTTAAGTTTCGTTAAGTGCGTTCTGGGCCGATTTCAACAACGCCTTTATCACAAAACAAACTGTTATGCAAACTTGGTCAAGGTTTTGAGCTCTGGGCCAGCCGTGACATCATAGCTATGTACGTTACATATTCAAGATCAGCTTCAAACGACAATATTTCAGTAGATAAATGTATATGACATTTGTCAGGAGATTCCGACAATGCAGAGCAGCACAGCAATCATTGTAAGCAAGATTTACAGCACAGCGGAGAAAATATTCGATGAGCCCATCAGCGCGCTCAGCATGACCATTAGTTTGAGGGCGAAATATGAAGAGCTGGTATAATGGTCTTCAGAGTCGATGTCACAAAAGTGTACAAAATGTATGTTTTGACTCACAATCCAAAAGAACAAGACCATGATCCTCCAAATAACCATAACAATTATCGTGTGATCGTCGTGTCATTAATCCCAAGCCGTAGAAGCCTAGTATCCTCTTGGTCTATTACAGCAAATGTGAGAGCATGTCTCGGATTCATGCAGCTGGTGACAACATTGATGAATTTGAAACTCAGTTCGATCACTGGCTACAGAGAACACGCCGTTCTACTCGTTTTAAGGCCGTATAAGACAGCTTCATAAACTGGACGTCCGTCTAGAGCGTCAACCCAGGGTTGACTTTAATCAGTACAAAGCTCACCAGGACGTCGAAAGTATCCCATCACCTTCAATCGCTGCTGTACACAGCCCAAGCTCATATCCATAGGACAGTTGTATTTAGCTAACTACTAAGAAACTTACTAACCATAAGGACGGTTCCCAGCTGCTGACAACGTGATGAACGTTTTATTGCGTTTACCGCTGCCGTCTCTTCTCGATGAGAATGGTAGCGTCCAAGATGTGGACTCGAAACATCGGGCGACCCCATCACTTCTTTAAAAAAGGTAAAGGCTGCGCTTGTGCCACTCATGGCACCAAATTAAATTTGTTGGAATGGGATCTAAAGATTTCTAAATGAGCTTACCATTTTTACTTTGTCAGACACTGGCATCAACCCTGATAAACTGCCGGATCATCAAAAGTTCCACATGAAAGTGTGAAACCCTTGCTCGTAGAGCATTGTCGGCGGAGGTCAACCCTCCCGCAACCGGCTCTTGTTAGCACTTCGATTGTCAAACCATGGTGACTCTCTCCAAGAGCCCCGAAATGTTTTTGAAACGCAGATGAGCCAGACCCCACATTCGCTCATTTGACTTTGCCATCGCACCGCATGTGCTTGGTACCATTATCGATTCGATATTGTGTGGCCACCTCGAAGCAAAGGGTAGCTCAGCTACGGGGACGGTCGAGATGCTGCTTTAATTACAACTAGCTTGTAAGAGAGAGATCGTGGTATGGCTTCAGTAAGCCCAAGTATATAGCAGGCATTCTATATGAGATGTACAACGAAAAGCTAGATTCATTTGTCGGTATGACCGGGAACCAACATAATCGTGTAAGCCGCAGACAACATATGCGGGTGGTGGTACATCTATTGCATTTAAGTGGATGTTTTTGCCCAACAATATATTCGTGTATGTAACACCTGCACTTGATTTGTATCGAGTACCTGAAACAGTTCTTGCCACGATTGCGATGTAAAGCGCGAATTTTCTTTCGATACAATAGCTACCAGCAAGTTATGTTAACGAAATTCCAAGTCGAGCCTTGGCTTTAACCTAACCAATTTTACAAACATTGACAGCAGCGAGGTGGGCTATCGTGATCAGACGATCCACAATGAACACAATACTGCTTCTACCAGACGCATTTTTGAAAAATGGTCTACACTTATGAGCTCATCTTTGGGACGTAGGCGATCTAATGATGTCGCCGCATTCGGCAAGCTTCCGTTGACACGTTTCACCCGTGTAAGCATATGTGCTGAACAACATTTATATAATGAGCCACTAATAATTAGCGCTCATGGAGTAGCACCTTTTATTCATTCCGGGGTGTAGTCGTATAACATTCTGTACTAGTTCCTGATCAAATGACTCACCACAAGCAGATAGTCAAATGGGTCATACTGTAATACAGCAAGCCTATTGCACATGTTGCGTCTAATCTGTATCCTGTACAAAAGGCCTGAACAATTGGCGGCGAACCTGCGCCAAATCCACAGCCGCGGTGTCGAGAATTCGCACCCGCCCCGAGATATGACTGGTCCGGCTCATACCAAACCCAGAACGTGTACTCGGTATTCTGTTAGGATCTGGTGCTCTTGTCGATGCGCCTAATGAGGCATAATCTGTATCAATCACAAACGGCTAAGAATATAACTGATGCACCCTGAGCTTCACGGTGGCATATATTATTGGAAGTGTTTTTTGTTATGAATGAGTTTGGTCCTCTCTGTCGCTTTATGCTTGCGAAACTCAGAGGCGATCACATAGCATGCACATCTGAATCAACCTGGAGTAGAGAACAGTCTAAGGAAAGGTGTATAGCATCACCGATGACATGAAAAGGCTGATCTCGACTTGAGCGATCCAAAATCGAAGCACGAATGAGTTACTTCCTCAGGCTTCAAGGTCACTTTTTTGCGCCTTAGCTCCATTTGGCATTTCTTTAGATGCGTTGAGCTTACCAGATCTGCTTCTGCATTTCGCGAACTATATGCAAGCCCGATTCACCATTTGCCTCTAGTCATTCTGACACCAAAAGTCAGCGCTAAGCGGAATCCACTCTCTCACCGAAACTTCTTCGCAAAAATCGTATGATTTTTTTCACTGTATCCTTTGTAAGGTTTATTGTGTATGACGCCATTTTAGATTCTGAAAATCAAGTCTTTTACATGACGGACTTGCTTATCCAGTAATTTCATCTAAATTTGAAAGGTAACTTTAAATTGGGTAAATTTCTAGTTTAATGACAGTAAAACAGTAAAACACATCACGAAGCTGCCAGCGTATTCAAGCGGGTCAAATTCTCAGCGATATCTGAACAAGCGCTTATCACGCAGCTTATAACAATGAAATCCTCCATCGTGATGCGACGACTGCAATCGTCAACGTATCCAAGCAAACACTCGCCGTAGGTACGTTTCAATGCGGCTGCAGCTTCAGTGAGTGTAAATGCTTCGACATTCAAAAGTCCTGAGCTTTCACTTGCTGAGGACGTACCTCGGAAGCGATTTTGGCGTCGAGTAAATCCCGCTTTATCGATAGTATTTGATGAAGACTTCGAACCGAAAAGGGACATATTTACGAAATTGGACGTCGCTCGAGCTGGAAAATCTTTTGAATCTGGCGACGATAGCACTGAAATGAGATTTTTCTTTTTGTTTCTTTCGGAAGATAAAAAGTTGTTGTTTTCGACAGCTTGAACTACGTTAGACCGAAAAGTACTCTTACGAAGCGATCGAATGTTTTCTGGAGGTGATGACGGAGCGTTATTGGAATTTTGAATCACTTCACCGATTGGGATTTGTGGTCGATCGTCGTAAATTTCAAGCTCTAGCTGAAACCCTTCGATTAAAGCCTGCATGAATTCGTGAAATGAGATTGTGCCGTTTCGATCCTTATCAACCAATTGCATGAATTCATCAACATATTCCTCCATGCCTTCGATGCCTCGGCTACCAGAGTAGGGCATGAGTTTCTCAAGAAGTAGACTGAGCTCCGAAGCATCCACAACGCCGCGATTATTGACGTCTGCAATACGAAAAGCTTCTTTCATTTGTAAATAAATAGCGTGGTCTCCAGCAGTAGAGTCTGAGAACTTTTTTCCAAACAAGGTTACAAGTGTGTCTAGTGCTCCTTCGACACCTGCTTCAACGACTGCGACGGTTTGCTTCCACTGCAGCTTTTCCACAGTGGGTGATGTTGAACTCATATGAGGTGGCAGAGATAATAACGATGAAGAACGAAAACTTCCGTCATCAATATTGGGCTCACTCTCTATATTCATAGTTGTTTTTGAGAATGGATATTGAGATTCTTTAGCCGCAACAAATGCCGCAGTGCATTCATCATCTATTCGACTCTGTTGCCAGCGTTTCAACGGTCGGTCTTTGCCACTGCTTCGACGGTGCTCATGCCAATCCACGAGATCCACTAATACATTTATACGATTGAGAAGCTCTTGACAAACGCTCAGAACTTTCGTGTACTTGGGCGTAGAGAATAAAGGTTTCCACAACGTTGGCTCCATTTTTGAGCCATCAAGCAATTTCGCTTGGGTCTTTAGTAAATTGGGTAGGGTCACTTTAAGCTGAAATTTTAACTCTTTAATCTTGCTACTGCTAAGAAGTACCTTGGCATTCTCAATATCTTCTTCAGTTAGCGGCTCAGCACAAATTGAAGTTGGATAGCTGTACGCAATGTGGTGGCGAAACACGTCGTGAAAGACACCACGAAATTGTGTTAATAATTGACAAATATTACTACGAAGCAATCCACGGGAACTGCGAGGAAGAATAACGATCTCCACAACCATCAAAATAAGAATACCCAATGCATTTTGAGTCAAACTTGCATATGATACTGTCGTTGAAGACGATGATGTTCGGCAACTGTGGTCAAGCAATACCGAAGCAGCCATAAATGCCGAGGTCATACCTGCTAAAGCCATAAAGCGCCCTGAGAACCAAACGTACATCGACCCAACAGTCCATATGAAGAGTACAATATTATTGAGTATATTGTAAATATGATCACTTGAAAGTTTGCAGACAAAGAAGCTGAAAATTGACGGCACGACGGTACCAGCAACTAATCCACCCACTCGATTCACCATGTTGGCGTACGTGCCACCGATACTATTATCAGCAACCATAGCAATCGCTGTTGGGGCCGTCGAACTGAATCCAAAGATGAAAGTTGCACAACAAATACCAATGATAATAGCCAAAGTCGTTCGAAACGCAGAGATTATCACACCTCGAGGATAGTTAATCGGATGATATAAACTTCGGCATGCCAGTTTGAGAAAGTTATGGATCCGATAGCGAGCTGAAAAGTTTTTGCCATTAAAGTTTCCCTCGAACTCCAGCAGCGAAAACACAAAGACGTGAAATGAATACACAAACACGTTAAGTGGCATAGTTTTGCCCACGTCGTCTGCAGTGTGGACTTCGGCTGATAGTAAATTTCCATACAACGTTGTATATTTTACCATTAAGTGTTCCAATGCTTTTTCAAGACTGGCAAATTTAGATGACGGCATGGCTGGATAGTGACACCGTAAACTGTTAATTAGATTTAATAACTCCAACAATATTACATTACGTACTTCGAGTCGAGTGAATGATCTTAAGTGAGATATCTTCAAGAAGATCATTGGCCTCAGCTTGCAGCACATAAATGTGCTTTTGCATCTTACTAAGAAGCACAACGTGCGTCCAGTGGCAAGTCTCGGCTTCAATGGCAAATTTCATGGCTTGCAAGTCGACAAGAAGTTTTCCATACAGTCTCACAAGCTGTTTGGCTACAGTCTTATTAAAGTGAAGACACATTCCGAGCCCAACTATCTCTTCCCAACCGCAATCGTTAAGTAGCGATTCCATCGTAGCATGTCGCTCGTGGGCATTAGCAAGTAGCCGGTCAAGCCGCAGTTTAAAGAAGTCCATTTTCTTAATATCTTTAGCTCGAAAGCAGTATGAATCGACGATCAAGTTTAAAATGTCTCGGATATCATGAGGAGATGCGGCCATGTGTCGCTGTAATTTTCTCATTGCACTTAACATGGAGAAAAATCATGTGAGGATATCTAGCCTTGCATAATTTTATTGTCTACGTACAACATTGGATATGGAAGCATCATTGTCGCAAGTGCGATAAATGTACCCACGACACCAACAGCGCTGTAGATCGCAAGCTGTTTAAGCAAGTTGTTAGTTCCGTAATAAGCATTACCCTTTGTGCTGTCCTTTAAAATTGTTGGAAAGATTGGATTCATCGGATCGATTAAGGTCAAAGCTGCAGCATTTTGAGGTTAGTACATGTAGTCATATGCAAGTAAATTTTGAACTTACTAAAGTAAAGATTCGTGCTCACTGCAAACTTCTTCAGATTCCGTTGCTGCCAAAATGCATTAGCACCTCACGATACTATACACCCCGTAAGTTTAAAGAAACGTACCATTGGTGACAACAAGATCACTAGCGTGAAAAAAGCAAGAATTGGTAAAGTGGTACCCCAGTCCCGTAGACTGATATAATACGTGGTTCCATTGATATTTTTCGAGACGGTCAGGAGGTCACCTTGCGTAATGGGCACACAAGCAAACACTGCAAAGTTGTAAAGTAGCGCAATTGCCACTCCTACATCAATTTGCCACACTTGTTGAAGTACACCGCCCACCGTACTCGCTGCAGCATAAATGACCATCATGGAAGCGACTGTGAGGCCTCCTAAATAGTAACTGGCCGGCAGAAAGAGCCACTCTCGATCTGTACCTCGCGTCTGCACGACTCCTGCAAGTAAAACTCCAGCGGCTATACGCATTGCCAATTGTAAATGCCGTTTGAAAACGCGGGCCTCTTTTGAAGATTTTCTCTTCTTGATTGGAGCAACACGGCGACGCAGCTTCTCGGATGTCTCTGCTGATAATGGCGAGCTTTTTGTCGCTTGCTTACGAAGACGAAGTCGCATTGATTGTCCATGAGGCAATGGAGACTTCAAATTGGTATAGTAATCATTGATCTCGGATGTGGATGTCAATGAACTTTCAGAAAAGTCGGTGTCAACTTTGACACAGAGGTGGCCGGGTTTTGACGAACTTGACAATCCATTGCTCGTTGCTTTCGAACTGTTGTTTTGAAGAAGTCGCATGTTTGAATCTTGATGTTTTCAATATGATTGACATGTATGTATCTAAATTTGAGCGGAGCAAGACAGCACCGCCATTAGCACGACCTCTGATTTCGTGCTTCCATGATGATGGACTACCACCTTTTTGTTGATATCTGACTGATATTCATAACCTTCTAAAACAGTTTGATTCAATCTAAAAAAACATTGTTTTTATATCATAAATTTTAATTACCTGACACCAAAGATGCTCCAGATACAACAAATTGGCAAGGGATATCAAAATATAGATGTCACACGAAAACGACTCTTTTTTTGCCCTTGTTTTGCACGGTACGTACGCATGAAATGTATTGCGCTTTCAAGAAGCTGACAGTGAAGCTGTTTACGTATCGCATCATCTATGTGGTATCTGTGGTTAGAGGTCAATTTTGGAAAAAGTTGGTAGATGGCTAACAAAATTCTCTAGCGATTTGGACCTGATTACTACCATTATTTTTCCATTGCAATGTCATTTGAAAGCTGTACAGAATGCACTTCGCCTTTTTTGAAATGGACGTGTTTGTGCAAGATAGGCGCCATACATGTATCTTACTTTCTCCATTAAGACCATAGAGCATGTGCACAACAAACTCTTGCTTGATCTTTGCTTAAAATACAAGTGCACAAAGACTGAGTCTGATCTTTGCTTAGGATCTCTTTTGAACTTTTATATGCGATTCGCGAATCTTAGTAGCAATAAGATGAACTCATTGCTCTCCTAGTATGTAAAAATGCCAAACAGAGGACTTTTTCTGCTGTCAATCTTTATCAAAAAGGCTTTGACGTTTTCTGCTTTGATCGATCACCTACGACGTGTTATTCAAGATGTGGTGCATACACCTTATAACAGAAATCAATGCCGCATCAACGGCTAGTCTGAACGTAAGATTTGTATAGTTTCGAGCGTCGAAGCTTAGCGAAAAGCGAGATCGAGTGTCAGTCACAGCTGAACGTGAGTGCAGGTATAAACTCGAATCAAGCCTCGCACCTCGAGCACTTGCGACATGATTTGGAATCTAATATGCCACCTGATGGACATTCTGACGTAGATCGCGATACTATTTGGGATATCATCCTATGTAAAATCTTAAGTATCGAATACAACCAAATTGTGAAATATAATCTAGGGAGAATAAAAAAAATGCCCCAACTTTTGCCATATATAAAAGAATATCCCAACTTTTCAAAAAATAAAAAAATACCCCAGCACCGT